CAACACTTAGCCATTCAACTTTTTTTCTTGAAACCCTGCGTGAGTTGAGCGCATAGTTGAATAATGTAAATTCCCTATTAGGAAAATTGAAATATATGATTGTGTGAGTTTTGGCCACCTCTGTTGTAAAGCTCATACAGCTCATCATTCCATCGTCTGCGGTAGTCGCTAATGCGTAGAGGCCCGTAAATCTTCCATAAGATCATCCTCTCGAATGCTCCAAGAGCCGTCTGATCGGATGTTGCCATTGTCCATGCTTCTGCGCAATATACCAGAAATATATCTCGAAATTATAACTGTCAACAGTGACGTGGGTGTCAAGGCGCGAATGCGCTGACTGTTTGTTTGATGACAGGAGATACTTCGTCTTGTCCTCGTTGACCATGGAAACATGGAAAAGGCAGAACAGACTTCGCGGTTCTTGTTACCGACGATGATGGTTTTTTTGTTGTAACAGCATACTAATTCCCAAAAAAGTTTTTGAAGAGTGTTGCTGAAGTTACAGTCCTTGGCCAGATATAAATCTGGGTCGTTCCGGTTACGTAGAACCGACTATCAATGTCATCGGCGTACGCCAGCAATTGCACACACTTGTAATAAATTGTTCCTGAGCGGTTCAGTTCTGCAGCTCTTTTTCAGGGCTGTCACAGAATCCATTCTAGTCCCGATTTTTCGTGAAATCTACGAAATTGCTCTCACTGAATCCGAATAGCTAGATTTCACGAAAAATCGGACTACGATGGATTCTGCGATTGCCCTTATTATATTTTCCAACTTCAGATTGAAGAAATCACATGCAAGGGAGTTGCTATCAAACGGCTCGGAGAGGTCTTTTCCAATTCTGACGGAGCTGGTGGTATGGCTCAACGTCATTTTACACAGCCGTGTCAGTTTCGAGGGGATGCTAAATTCAGGCATCGCGGCGTATAAACAACTTCTCTTAGTGCTATCGAAAGCGGCTCTGAAAATCGACAAGTAGGTGTTGAGTGTCGATCCTTTTCTCTCGGGTCTTTTCCAAGACTTCGCGTATAGTGAATACCTGGTCTATGGTGGACTTGCCACGTCTAAAGCTACTGATAAGGCCCAATCAGTTCGTTGACGGTGGGCTTCAGTCTTTCACACAATACGCTCGATAAGACGTTGCAACCTATGCTTAGAAGGCTGATCCCGCGATAGTTAGCGCGAATGGCGAGGTCGCCTTTTTTGTGGATTGGGCAGAGCACGTTTAAATTCCAGTCGTCGGGCATGCG